GCCAGTGACAAGATGAACCACAGCGCACATCTGGGGAGGGTCTCAAGCATCTGACCCAGCTAATCTTGTCCAATGCTCAAGATCCTCCCAAAGGTAGACAGCAATGTGAGGACTCACCACCATCCGGAGAGGTAAGTATTCGGAAGTCTTCTGCAGACAAACATTTATAGACGTTATTTCTTAAGACAAGAAGTCACTTAAAAAAAATATTAAATTAAATATTAAAAAATGCCAAAGAAAGAAATAGCAAAGAACAAAAGACAACAGGAATGAGCTCCTTTTCTCCAACCAGGACATCAAAGTCTTTAATGAAATAATTAATTCAGATTACGTTACAAAACAGACATAAGTGAGACGTACAGCTGGACTGCGGCTAGACATAGAAGACACAAACCAATGCAGATCTGTATTATTATTATTATTATTTGACCTTCTATCATTCTATTGCACTCCCTGTGCAGAAGGGCTAGAGTGTGAAAGGAAGAAGCAGCACAAGGAGTTTATCAGTTCAACCTAATAGAAGGAGAGAACAGAGTGACAAAGAGATGAGCTCATCACCAGGCTGCTTCTTCTTTCACTGTCCAGTCACAGGCTGGGGGTGGGTCTTCGAAAACCTGGGCTCAGAGGAAATGGGTAGAATGGAGCTGGCCATCAGACTGAGGAGATCTAGTGGCAGAAAATCAGAGTGACAAAGAGATGAGCTGATCACTGGGCTGCTTCTCCTTTCACTGACCAGCCACAGTCTTCTGGGGGAAGGTCCAGGATGACCCGGGCTCAGAAACAATTTGTAGAATGGAGCTGGCCAACAGACTATGGACATCTAGTGGCGGAACACATGTACTGCGGGGGAAAACTCTGAACTGAAGCTGAATGTAAGTTAAAATATTGTTATTTCATCTCTGATTGGGCTATTTATTTCCACTGTGTTATTTTCAGCTTGCGTTCCGCTTTAGGTGACATTCCACAGACATCACCAACCAGATTACATAGTTACATAGTTACATAGTATTTGAGGTTGAATAAAGACATTAGTCCATCAAGTCCAACCTATTAGGATCTCATTCTAGGAGTACCCGTACCCCTGTATATTACCTGTAACCCTGTATATTACCTGTAACCCTGTATATTACCTGTACCCCTGTATATTACCTGTACCCCTGTATATTACCTGTACCCCTGTATATTACCTGTACCCCTGTATATTACGGTCCCTTAAGAAATCGTCCAAAAGTTTCTTGAACAATTCCACATTATTTGCTGAAATCAGCGCCTGTGGCAGTGAGTTCCAGACCCTAACTGATCTTACTGTGAAGAACCCCCTTCGCCCCTTGTGCTGGAATTTTTTTTCCATCAATTTTAGGTGATGGCCTCTAGTTTTTGTAACGGAGTTAATTTTAAACAGTTTATCGCTAATGTTGCTACCACCATTAAACATTTTGTACATGGAAATCATATCCCCCCTTAATCTCCTCACCTCCAATGTGAACATGTTTAAATTTAGTAGCCTCGTCTCGTAGCTCTGGTCCTCCATACCCCTAATTAGTTTGGTTGCCCTTCGCTGGACTTTTTCCAACTCAAGGACATCTTTTCTTAGTACTGGTGACCAGAACTGGACCGCGTACTCCAGATGAGGTCGAACCAATGATCTATAAAGTGGCAAAATTATAGACTTGTCCCTGCAATACATCCCCTTCTTAATACAGGACAAGACCCTGCTAGCTTTGTTTACAGCAGCCTGGCACTGCAAACTACCTTTCAGTTTGTGGTCTACAATGACCCCCAAATCCTTCTCCATTTCTGACTTCCTCAGCGGCATACCCATAATTGTATAATTGTATAATAAGATTGCAGCAATTAAACATGACTTGTGGTCAGAATAGAAAAAGTGTACATGAAAATGATTCTGGGTTACCGCCCTGAAATGATGCTGGCAGTATGTGATTGGGGACCGTTCATCGCGCAGTAGAGGAGGATGGAGCAGTTGTGATGGACTTTGTTTAGGGTCAGGGTGACCCGTTCTCCAGCCGCTCCCTACACAAGATCTGGTGGAGATGGCTCATAATTTCAAACCGGCCAGGGAGCAGGGCTGTCTTTAAGGCAGGGCAAAAGGGGCAGGTGCCCCGGGCCCAGTCATTGCTGTGGGGTCCTGTACCCCAACAACTAGTGCTAATGCTGCGTCTGCAACGACCACCTCTTCAGCACCGGGGAGGGGGCTGGCACAGCTGGCTCTGTATCTAGAGAGGCAGAGCCAGCTATCAATCAGGTAGCGGGGTGGATCCTGATAACGTTGTCGGGATCTTTCCCAGCTGCAGCGCGGCTCAGTGCTGTCGGCATATAGCAGGCAATATTGCATGGCGGGACAAAATTGCATGGCGGGGGGCAGGGTGTGGCAGGGGGCCCAAGAAAATGTTTGCCCAGGGCCCAATCAATATTAAAGATGGCCCTGCCAGAGGGATCACTATAAATACTATTAAATTGTTCAGGCGTATGGATTCCATGTGCACATTCAAGAACGTTGTTTAATACACAGACAAACATTTCAATGTCATTAAACCCATTACTCATAATCTGCAAGTCACACTTCCATGCTGCATATCTGTCCTTTCAGGGCAATGTATACCCTAGGGCTGATAAGGGACGCTTCCTTCTATAGGGGAGCTATGCTGCCTTGAGGGGGTCATATAGACAAACATTTTTAAACAGGGACTTTCAAAAGCTAACCCTCGCGGTGGGGCTTCCCCCTCACTGCTCGTTTTGGTCTAACACATCCAGGAATCCTTGCACCGGTTGATGGACCACATGCAGAACTTCCTTGTACCTGCTGCTACCTTGAATTCTTCAGGTTGCTCTTCTTTAACTTTATTCGCAGGTTGAAGAAAGGAACATTGAAGGTGACACCGTTTAAATGGGATCCGTCTGCTTTGTGTGAATTGCCACGATATAGATCTGGAGAGGAACATCGTATACCCCAACCAGTCTGACGAAGCACCGTGAGTGAACCATAACCTGATAACCTGGGGCTTAGCTGGGATCTCCAGAGATTGACGTGCCCACCAGAATCAGCAAGGGCTGTAAGAAATTGTGTTTTATTTCAAAAGGAACTCCAGGATATTCAAAAGTTAACCCTTGCAATGGGGCTGGTCCCACACTACAAGGGTTAAGGACTCTTTTTGGTCTAGGGGCGCAAATAAAGAAAATATATTCAACTGATCCTCAATCCGGCAAGGCTAGTCCTGTCCCCGCAGCCTCTAAGCCCTGTTGACGTCATCACATCTATGCAAGATCCATTCACTTGCATTAGACATGAAGACACCGAGGGGCACTCCAAAGCAGGAGTGGAGGGGGGGGGGGGAGTGCTGACCACCACAGGAGCGAGGATCAGGGGAGTATATCTGCTTTAATTCATTCCCTAATAGCCCCACTGCAAGGGTTAACTTTTGAAAATCCTGGAGATCTGCTTTAAAAATGATTAAAATAAAACCAAAGTCTCAACTTTCAGCGCTGGTGACATCTCTGCTGGGACACCCTGGGGGCCTTCAGCTGCCATTGCTATGTTGGCTTAAAGAGGAATAGGCTACCTCTAAGCATACGGGCCCCCAATTTATTCATTGCTATTTATATCCCAAGATGGAGGCTCTCATAGATTGAGGGACCATATGTTCGGAGCCTGTCCCAACCTCCCAGATCCCTCTGGTGGTTGCTTGTGGCCACATACCCTCAGTCAGCTGCAGGCTAATGAGCCTGGCCACACACCCATCAGCCTCTCTCCATCAAATGTGAGCTAATGAGCCTGGGCGCACACCCTTCAGCCTTGGGATTGGTTAGTGGTGCTTTACTTAGGCATCACAATTCAAGAGCTCTGGACTCGTAATAGTTCAGTCCAGTCCTGTCTGCACAAGCCGTTACCTTGCCCTCTATATCCTGATCCAGATCCTGATCTTGTATCCTAGTCCTGTCTTGAATGATCCTGTAACTGTCTCGCTTCCTGAATCCTGTACCGTCTTGTATCTTGTGTCCTGTACTTGTCTTGTATCCAGTTCCTGTCTTATATTTTGTATCCAGATCCCCTATGCTATCTTGATTTTGGTTTATATCTTTTGTTTAGTCACCAGTCAGTACTGCTCCTTTATTCCTGGGGTCCGCCTACGACATTTATAGCCAGAGTGCATAGTTTAAGTCTTGGGGGCATCCAAGCACCGGTAGGTGTACTAGCCTTAAGGGAAAGGTGGCTGCTAGAGGTATAGCAACTCATGAATATAGACTCTGACTGAAGTGTCTGCATCCGGTCCTGACACCGCACTTCACAGAGGGGACTGGGCGAGGAACTGTGGCTTCTACAAATATTAACAAATGTATTTTATTTATTACAGATATTTCTATACCACCATCAATTTACACAGGGCTTTACATACTATTCATTCATATCAGTCCCTGCTTTCAAGGAGCTTATAATCTAAGGTCACTACATTCCACATATTAGGGCCGATATAGGCAGGAGCCAATTATCCTACCAGAATAACCTTGGCGTGTGGGAGGAAACCAGAGTACCCAGAGGAAACCCACACAAGCACAAGGAGAACACATGTAAAGTCAATGCAGATAGAGCCCCTCAAACCTCTGTTTTTAATACAAATAGTTGAAACAGTGTACATTTCTTTTGATGACTAGGTGGGAATGTTTTGCATTAAGTTCCCAGCTCCCCTCTCTCTCTACCATGGCCATCATGAAGGGGTCCCTGATGGACTTAGGACTCTAGCTCACATGATATGGAATGAGACTCCTCTCGTTCCTGTGGCTGGAGAGAGCAGAAATGAGGGCTCAGTCGTGGAGACCTCACCTTGTACATCCTTATACAGTAGAATCAGCCCTTTGCCCTTGACCAAAGGCTGGCTTAGCTTGGGTGGACCTTCAAAATTAATTTACATGAAGAAAAAAGTCAACAGACTTGTCAAAATCTTAACAGACTTGTCACAATCCCAAGTCCAAAGGAGTCTAGTGATTGAAGAAGGAGTTTTCAGTGCAGGTTGAGGAAGGGGCGAGATACGGGGAGGGAGTTCCATCTGTTTCAAGCATTGTTCTGCATGGATGAAGGAACAAAACAAAGCAGGATTAATACAGGTGCACAATACTTATGAGACCACGCAAAGCACAGGAGATGACATATGTAGGTCACGCTGATCATGTTTGTAACATATACCATCATACATAATCAATGAAGGAAGCAATAATGTTCATTTATGGGTGTTTATACAGCAGCTAATGACTGATTTGCTTAACTTTTGCTGCTTTGTCACATTTCATGAGAAGGTTGGCCACATTTTTCCATCACATCCACTCTTGCTCATCCAAAGTATGGATTTCATGCTTATCAATGGGAAATCCGGGGCTCAGTAACACGGTCTGTATTACCAATACTGTCACACCAGCTGCTGGAGTGATCAGAACATTTTATAGTCCAAGTATCATCTTTTGCTGCTGGCTTTGGAGGTCCAGCTGAAGGAAGCCTTCTAGAACCCCCTTTATGGAGCTGGCTTTGTACACAGGGGCACACTCATGATTAATCAGAAATGGGTCTTCCTCAAACTGTTACCACAAGATTGGACACTGTAATATGGCACATTCAAATGCATGTTCCTGTGATACAAGCAAACTGGCTGGACTTCCACTGACATCATAACCTATTGGGGAGAAACACATTGAAGCAAGAGGAGAAGGTATGGCAATAAGCGATGTGCTACAGTCTAGCTTTGTGAGTTTGCATTTCTTGCAATAAAGCTTGTTGGATATCAAGGAAAAACTATGGAAGCCCAGCCTGTTTGTATGTATCTGAATACTACAGGGAGAAATGGATCCCAGTAAGTATGAACCTGTGGCTGGTGGATGACCACCTGGAGTAGTTAGATCTTTTTATGTGTTAGCTTTAAGGTGCATTACATTTAAGTGACCCTTTCACCACAGGGTCACTCATAAAAGAAGGCCATTGCTGAAAAAGAAGCCCATCTATAGTTACCCTGCGTCAGCAAAGTGTTGCTTTTTTTTGGGCTACACATTTTCATGCAAATGTGCGCACGCATGTGAGAGGTTCTAGTGGAAGGATTGTATGTATTCGTAAGCGTGCTTGCAAATTTAAGCGCACTATGCCGCGTGCGCATGCACGAGCACCAATCTGAACATTGGCACCAGACGGCCTATTTAAGGAGGAGCTTTGTACCCTTCCTTTGCTGAGAGTTCTTCAGCTAGTGCTCTGCTTCCTGTGTTTCCTGAATCTGTTGTTCCTGATATTGACCCGGCTTGTTCTTGGACTCTGCTGATTGCTGCCTGCCCCTGACCTTGGCTTGATCTGAACCTTCCTTCTGCTTGCTGATTCTGCACTGCCTTGCGTGCACGTTACCGGCGCGGCCTGCTCCCGACCCTGCCTCTGTTTGCTGATTTTGTACCTTGCTGCCGGCTTGATCGTGATCCGGCTTGCTCCTTACTTCGGCTCTGCTCTGCACCAGTGCCTGCTTCACCCATTGCTGACTTCATCTCCCAGGAAGTGACTGCCATCATCTTCCTTTAGACTGCTTCACCTGCATCTCCAGCTCCGGGTGTTTCTACTTCATCAGGCACTCATGCCCCCCTTCCATCCATATGCCCTCAGTCCACCATTACCAGGGGTGTTTGGACAAGAAAAGCAAGGGAGGCCACCTTTATCGTCTCGGGGTCCTACCAGGTACGTGACACCCTGTATGTATTTGAGTATGGAAATGCTATGGCTTTATCGCTCCCCAGGGCCACTGCAGGTATTCCACACTTTCAGGTTTAAGAATATCTGATTTGATCTGATTTCCTCACCACAGGAGGTGTAATCCAGTTGGGAGGAACCACTGCATGAGGCTTGACCTACCCAGAAGGTTCAAATACATTCAATGGCCAGAGAACAGTAAGGCAGCAGCATTTCATGACACAGGCCATTGGGTAGGTAACTATAGATAGGCTTCTTTTACAGGACTTCTTTTATAAGTGACCCCTTGATGACAAGTTAGGGGGAAATCCTTCCTAGACAGCTGTATGTACAGTTATCTGCATGTCTTCGTATGCAGTAAAATTAACACTACCCTTTACTGGAAGCATCTGCACCCAATCATTTGGAGTGGTGTCCACATACTGTTGGCCATATAGTGTAAAACCATGAGGCTTGTCAACAGGTGTCAGTTTTGGTTTACCGTAAGGTCGCAACTGACCATCCGGCTCGGTTTACTCACATTTTCTTTCTTCCGGCAGTCCCCGCACATGACCCCGAGGAGGCCGTTGATAATCTGGACGGCGCAGAGGACAAATTCTATGGCTCCCAATCCCAGGAGCATGGAGAAGAGGACAATGTGCCAGAGGACAATGTTCGGGGGCTGGACGCAGATGTCCCAAGAGGTTTTGTTAAAAAGATAACTATCTCTAAGAAAAAAAAAAGAGGTAGGAAGGGTTACTCACATGCCTGTCCTATGGTACATGTCAGCCACAAGTAAATACTGTATGTACTAAATAAAACATGTATTTATTTTATGAATAAGCCTAGACCTGATCCCAGAAAAAAAAAAGCTGAAAAGGGATAAGAAATAAGGATAGAAAAATTGCTTATTTTGAGTTTTTTTTTTATATGTACAGAATTATAAAATATCTGACATTTATAGCTTTGCTGTTGTTCTATGTGTTTTTGAAAACCTGGTACACACATGGCACAGTCTTATTGTACAATCTTTGTTAGATCTAAAGAAGATTGTACAGTCTGATTATATGGGGCCCACCTTATGCAGTAGAAAGCAACATTTCAGGGCCTTACTCACTATAATGTGGCAGCATCTCATTGG